CAGAAACATAGCAGGAAGCTACTGTATAGAGAACAAAAAAGAAATGCAGTGATGGTGTGATTATAAACAGACAACAGGCTGAATACAGTGAAGCAGAGTCCAAGAATAAAGATTTCCAAAGGACAAACTGAGCCTTTTTTTGATAGCAAATGCCTTTTTAGAAAACCTTCTGACAACCTCTTACATAATGGCAGGTATTTTAGTTAATGGCTTTTTGCTTTAATACTATGCCTGCATTCATTCTGCATTTGTGTGCGTCTTCTCTGTATGTCACAGAGCCACCTCTCATATCTCATTTGCGACCAAAAATGTCTAAACCTGCCAATATGGATTAAATTCACAGTAGGGCAGTACTATTTGGTCAATGTAAATAACCTGAAATGTGTCACTAAAAATCACATTTTGACCTATGTTTCTTAAGACCCAGAGTGGTGCTGGTCTGCTGTCCTGGAGTGTTATTAATTGCATTTGGTTGCATCCACCTGGCATCCCAGATGGATCAAATCAGTCTAATCAGTTGTACTAAAAGAACAATAAACAAGATGATGTTGTAGGTGCAAGCTACTCTGTAATGTTTAATAATCCCCTGTCACACAAAAGGGCAACATTTCCATCGATCGTCAACCGCTTATCCTGCGTACAGGGTCGTGGGGGGGCTGGGACCAATCCCAGCTGACATCAGGCGAAAGGCGGGGACATGGACAGGTCCATCGCAGGGCAAGGGCAACATTTCCCCCTCTATAAATACAAAAATCTGCAAAATTTGAAAAAGCTAAAATACTGTAGGTACATTAAATTAAAATGTTTTATTTTGATTGCTGTGTTGATGGGCATTGGTGTTCCACAAAGAATGTGCAATAGAAAATGGAAGAAATGATAACAAATTTATTTAATTCTTTTTTTTTTTTTTTACGGAATATGCAGTGTGTTTAGTAAGTAAATGTATTCTATACTTACATACTCTTACTGCAAAAAAGATTATTATATACAACAGTACATACTGCCTTTTAATTGTATTTATTTTTCACCTAACTAATTTGTTTTTGTGATTTATGAGAAGCAAGTTGACTTTTTGCACAAAGCTGCATTTGTTTTTTTAAATATATTTTCAAAGTCATGGTGCGTGTCTAAACTTATATGGGGACTGTGGAGGATTTGAACGGATCCCTCTGGTTGCAAACTTTCCTCATGTTTGAGGTGAAGACATAATCAAATGTCCCTCAGCAGCATGTGAACGTGGAATGCAGCAATATACTTTGGGTTTGGATTTTCTCAGAAACCAGCTTCCGTATAAATAATGTCTGAATAAAAATGTCTGAAATAAACAGAGAGAAATGTTTTGTAGATCAAAAGGAAACAGGGACCATTTAAAGTGCTCATGGTCTGGACATGCTGCCATTCAGCCATGCCATGTCTGCTTCTAATCTTCTCCAGGTTAATGTGGGTGAGAGTGTGTGAGTGCCTCTGTGCATCTCTGCATACTATTGGTTCTTTGTATGTATTTAAGCATATGGGGTGAGTGCATTTATACTGTGCTTTTGTGTATGACAATGCAATGCATTCATACTTGTGTTAGACACAGGGGTTGGGGGTTGTCATTCAGCCCTCCACATCCATTTGCAACCTTTCAACATGACTATTTTGGCAATTCAAATAGAAAAGGGTTTCTTGACCTTCTTTAATGCCACAGCACTTGCAGACCACACACAGTATACACAGCCACTCTAAATTACTGATGGCTGTGAAATGCCATGCGCCGCAAGTAGGTAATGAGGTAGGACCATAGCAAGGAAGGCAGCAAAATATCAACAGTGACTGACGATGGGATAAACTGGATTAGCTTTAATACTGCTGCAGAGCACAGTCAACCTTCTGAGGATAAGCAAAGGTTATAAAAATGTGTAAATTCAGCTGCTGCTGAGAAGATGAGTTTGGGAGTTAGACATTCAATCACAGTTGATTATTATATAATCAAATTATCTTACTGTCATTCTTATGATTAATGAAGTATAAATGAGTATTTTAAAAGCTGCATTAAATTTCTTTTTCAGCACTTTGGGACAGAGAAATAAAAAACAAGCGCACAGACAAACAGCTCTGACATATTATCACCTTAAAAAGCCGTTTTCACTAATATATTAGCAAACAGATGCCAGATATTGACTCATCCAGCAGACACAGAGTAATATTAGCATTCATTTGGAGTTGTGCTGAGCAGGTATACAGTGGGTTTAGCTGCTGCTTGAAATCGGGTTGATAAGAGTGTTGAGACTGAACCGTACTGTAAATGTGTCCTAAAACCAAAACAGAGAGTTAAAAGCTTTATAAAGCTGCAATTAAGGAGGATAATTCCCTGTATGTTTGTCATTTGGGGTGACCTGTTTACAATGTAAAGCCCTTACACCCCTATAGTCCACTTACACAGGTGTTTTCACTAATGTTGCCTGATTATATCCTTTCTCCAGACAGTGTGGGAGTGGGACATCTGGACTTGATTGACAGCTCGCTCAATCTCCTGTTAGTTTTAAAGGATTTTTTTTAAAGCAAGACAATTAAGCTTGGTCACATCATGTAATTCCAATCAAATTACCACCCAACGTCAACCTGACAGGTCTAATCAGCCAAATATAAATTAAAAAACCTAATAAATTAAAACACCTGTGTGGAGACTAAGTCTACATTCAGACCTAATCCAAGTGTACACCGGTATTTTTTATAACTGGAGTTTTTCCTAGCGTTCAAAAGTGACGCTACAGGGCTTTCCCCTACGTGAAAATTCAAAAACACGCTATCAAGCGCTGTCAAGAGCACACCAAACCACCAGGCGGCGATATGACCCTAACTGTAAAGCCACATTGGCCAATCAGAGCGTAATAAAACTGTAAACAATCTGATGTCAAACACAGCAGATAACGGCACGCACACTGGCGGCGCAAGGCAAAAACTCTTTTACTGTCTGTACAACAACGCTGCAACCGGCATTTCTTCACCATGACACGGGTACACACATGTGCTACGAAGCCACACTGATACACACAAATACATACACACACACGTGCAGATACGCGTAGACACATCACGTTGGAGGGTTAATGGAGGACTGAGTGGCTCGGTTGGTCAACTTCATCTGTTTCCTATCATACTGGAACAGATCTGAATGTTCAGTGTGTACACAAACACACAAACACACAAACACACAAACACACACACACTCATTGACCAGGCCAGGTAAAATTGCAGCTGTAGAGGATTTGTTGCAGTAAGCAATTCAGCATCTGTTTTTGAGCATTTCTATGACGGGATTAATGTGTCTTTCTTAATTTCTCTCTATCTCTTTCTTTTCTGACACCCATTCTGTTTATTGTCCTCCTCTCCTCTTCCTTTTCCTGCCCCCTTCTCTGCTTCTTTCTTCTTGTTCCTCTTCATCTTTTCCCATCTCCTTTTTTTCCTATTGTCTTTTTCATTTCTTCTGTTCCTTTTTACCATTTTCTCTCTTTCCCTCTTTTTTTTATTCTTCCTCTCTTTTCACTCTCCCTCTCACAGTCCTTCTCCCTCTCCTCGCGCTCATTCATAGTATTTCTCTATCGTCTGTGCTATTCCATTCATGCAGTTTAGCGCCAGCGTCGCCTTAATGATATCACTGCATGGTGAGAATTACTGCTGGAGGGTTTGATATAATTTTCTTGCAGAAACACGCACTTGCTGGTGATAACGTCAGAGCAAATGTGTGTAAGTTACAAATAGGTGAGACAGATAAAGAGAATATGAATAATCCTATTTTAGAGGAGGATTGTAAACAAGTCCAAATCCAGTTTTTTTTTAACTTATTTGAAAAGTCCAAGCTGCCTGGCTTTTTGGCATGAAAGAAAAGCGTGATTAAAGTGGACAATGGAAGAGACAGATCTGAATCTATCTAAAGGAATACACAAAAATATATTTTAAATATGAACAACTCGAAAAAAAATGTAGCCCTAAAATGTTTGTAGGTTGTCCATTCGTATGTGTAGTCAACTACACTTTCTATTCTTCAACTTGAACAACTGTCTCTATGACCTCATAATACAGAAGATGTCCGCAGAGGGGCAACTCTAATATATCATATGCATAACTGTGGTAAATAAGAGGTACATTTGGTGACTGTAAAAGGAAGGTTTACCATATAATTCATCACATGACAGATTGTTTCTGTGTCCAGCTTCTCTGTCAGCCTCTTGTGGGACTAATAACTGTCACGCAGCACAAGTGATGAGATGCTGCAGTTGATAAACTGAACGTCCCGTCTCCTGTGATGCAGGAGCCAATTAACAATTTACTGACTATAGGTCCCAACAAGAGGGACTGTTGTCAGATGGACTGTGATAATGTCATGAGAGTTATTCTCTTCTTGTCACCCTGTGCTTTATTTTCAGATATCAGATAAGGCATAGTAATGGGGACATTTAAAAAAAAAAAGGGTAGCTGTAGTGAAAGGTGTAGGTTTAAGGGCTGTGAATGGAGAAAGGAGAAAAAGGGTAGAATAAAAAAAAGAGGGAGAGACGATGGCACAGAGAGAGAGAGATGAAGGAATTAAATCTTTAAATGCAAAAATAGGCAGAGTAAGATGTGAGAGAGGGATTGAGAGAAAGACAGAGAAGAGAAAGAGACATGAGAAGAAGGCGAGGGAGAAAATGCTCTACTGCTTAATTATTGGTGGTTAGCATATTTTTGCAAATGCATTGGCACCTGACACCCTCTTGTCTTGCCAAAAGAGCTAATTTAAAATGGAAAAGAGAGAGAAACAGTGAGATTGAGGGAGAGAAGAAAACACCAGAAATAAACATGGTTTCAAACTACATCATTTATGTACAAAGTTTCTTTTGTCTGAAGCTTTTAGTTTTGAGTCATTTATATTTGACAAAGTGATGTGGCTGCTTGATTTGATTAAGTTATACAGTTTATGTTATCTGCCGTCTGTCCTCTGTGTATGGGAAAGTTATCCCATTTCTATCGTTTGTCTGCAGGTACTACGCTATCTGCTGCCAGCCTCTGGTCTATCGGAACAAAATGACGCCCATGCGAGTGGCTCTAATGATCGGTGGCTGCTGGGTTATTCCCACCTTCATCTCATTTCTGCCCATCATGCAGGGCTGGAATAGCATCGGCATTGACCACCTGGTGAGTGCTGTAGGGTGTTTGTGTGTGTGTGTGTGTGTGTGTGTGTGCGAGTGGGGATATTCTCTGGTGATCCTGGGTTGATTGGAGGTAGAGAACATATAGTAAATATTTTATTCTCCACAACATATGCAAGTTCATGATAGTAGCCTACTACACTGCTATTAAGTGAAAATGGAGGGGAGAAAAAGAGAGTGATGAAAATGAGTAAACAAGTACAACAAAATATGTTTTACATAAACATAGAAAAACTATTAGTGTCCACATGTGCTGCAAAACAAATTATAGTCCTGAGAAGCATTGTTTACAAGAAGGAGGAAATAATTCCTGTGTTGCTATGGAAACAACATAAACATGTCAGACACAGAGACAGAAAGACAAGACAACTGACACCCAAGATATGGAGTCAAGCTGTTTCTTTATTTCAATCTGAAAATGAAAAGCATTTAATGGATGAGTCAGTGTTATGAGTGTCTTGTTTGTGCAGTGAGGTTCAATGTCAAATAATATATAAGCTAGAACAGGGATTTTTCAAAGTCTGAGACTGTGGGCCTGTGATTCAGATTCCTTTATTGTCACTGCACAGAGTAGAACGAAATTGAGTGCAATCATTGCGGTACATTCCCACATAATAAAACAAATATGACAACAGAATTAAAGTAAAGTAAAAGACATAAATGTAATTTAATTTTAAAACTCAGCACAATAGGCCTACAGACAAAGTTTGGAAATTGTAATTTCACATAAGGTTCTGTCTCTGAAGCTTTCAGTCACGTCACAGTTGTTTAATTGCAACTCAATCCAGTGAGGAAGGTGAAAAAAAAACCTAATAACTCTAAATAAAGTGGGTTTTTTTTCTTGTTAAATACTGGATAAACCAAGTATGAAAAATCAGTCTTCAGTTTCATCGTCTCATAACTTCTGTCCACAGTAAAGCCAGAACCTGTGGTAAGGGGTTGCAAGATGTTGATTTGTTTGAAGGGGTCACAAGCAATAAAAGTTAGAGCAACTGCTTCCCCCATAACTGAGGTAGAATGTAGAGAAAGAGGTCCAGAAGTCCAAAAGTCTTTATTATTGGACTTGAGAGTTCTTTAAAGACCATGCAGAAATATATGTGACCTTTAACGTGTAATATCTAGCTGTGCACTGTGGTTCTTGTCTGGATTTTTCCATTCAAATTAAGAAATTTATGAACAATCATTCTTTTTCCTTTTAGGAAATACTTCAAAGGTCAGACATATTTAATCATTTGAAAGTGCTGAGAAACTAATCCATGCTTTTGTTTCTTCGTGACTAGATTACTGTAATTCATTATACTCTTGCTTCAGCCAAGGAGCTGATGCAGATGGTTCAAAAATGCTGCAGCCTGTTTTATAACAAAGTGCAGGATAGCACATTATTCCAGGGTTGGCCCTTCTCCATTGCCTGCCAGTAGAGTATAGCATTCAATCCAAAATTTTAGTTAGTACCTATTATGCACTACATGGTAGAGGCCCCTGAGTACATTTCTGAATTGTTGTGGTTTTATTTTGAAGAACTATGTAACTTTTGTTTTGAAAAGTGCAATATGAACTAATCTTTATTTACTGTCTTAGAAGATGGAACAAATGCTCAATACATGATATGACATTTCCAAAAGTCATGAATATATGCAGTATGTGATAAGTGGGAAACTGTGTTATTTGGGTGTATCAAACATTGACTGAGTGTGAAGGAAATTCTTGTGCAAATTTGAGAGTGAAAGGTTTGAGCAAGTCAGTTACTAAAGACAAGATGACTTTTAATGAAAAGAACAAAGCAACGTAGATCAGAAAGCAGAGGAGAGAGACATGCATGCAGACAAAGACAGATGCCAGCATGAGTGTCTGAGGACAGAGAGAGAGAGAGAGACTCCCCTGCCACTATTAACCTCTCTCACCCCTGTCTGCCTTTATCTGAACGCCAGCAAAAGTTACTTCTGAGTTGACTGTTAACAGGAGGACTGGCTGGCTCTTGTTTGGCAGCACTGGAAGTGACACACACATCACACACAAATCTTTGCCTTCGTGTCTTTCTAACAAACACACACATACACAGTTAGTGCGGTAGCATCGTCTCTCTCTGGGTCCAATTAGAGCTGTTGAATATTCTGAGTAGCTAGTCAGTTCTGGCAAAACAACCACAACTCAAGTGCCAATAGAGACACACACTGTCACTATTTTCACTGGTTCCTACCATTTTTATGGCCTTGTCGAATACCGTATTTAGAATTGACCACTATTTTTACCATTAGACAATATAAATGTGTCAAAATGATTGTCAGTGGTGGAAAATAAATCACTCACATACTGTGTTTACAGTTTTTTAAGGTAATTGAGGTTGAGGTTTACTTGATTTTCTGCTACTTTATAGTTCTATTCCACTACAAATCCAAGGGCAAATTATTCTTTTAACTCCACTACATATATTTAATAACTAATTACTAACTAAAAGTAGCCCAATCTTTACAAGCTGTAATATTTCAGGGATTTGCTCATCGATGCATCAATAGTTATAATCCAGTAATATAACCTAAAGTATATTTTGATGCAAATACTTTTGAATGACAGAGTATTTCTACATTGTGGTATTAGATTAGATCAGGCACTGTTGCAAATCACAGATCAGGACTGCTTTATGGAAATATTAGATTCACAGGATTTTGCATCATGAGTGTGATGAAGAACCTTGGTTTGTCAGGGATTTTATTACCTGGATGGTCAAAAACAGACACCCACTTATATATCTCTTAATCAAATTTATAAATCACAATATAAAATGCCATACTGTTAAAAAAAACTTCTAATCAGATCATCGATAATCACCCACCCCTACATGTGTTGATCAAATACCTTAACTGAGTTAGTTAGCTCATACTGTAGCTATGGGTACAGTTCTGATATTATCTCACTGTGGGTGTTTACTGCAAATATTCATAAATCTGCCAATTTGAGAGCTTATTTCTTATTTCATTAATTTATTTGGCAGAAGTTAAATAAAAATAATTTTAATGCTATTTCAGTATTTTCATATCAAACCCATTTGTATGTTTCTTTTTATTCAACAGATTGATATGCAGAGAATGCCCTTACCTTGGCCTCCTTTTTCAAAATTAAATATACAGTTTACTGTTTCTGACATACACTCATGCAGCTGGGCAGGAAACCTTAACATTGAGCATGTTACACTTCAATTTGTCAGCCCATTCATAAAAACAACTTCAGTTTTACACACGAGTGTATTATTCAGTATTATCCATCTCGTAGCCCTGAGCCATAGTTTCCCACAGAGATGAGATGATAGCAGCGGAAATACTGGGATGGGACTTCACTGTGATTAATGGTGACGTGCAGAGCCTCCCTCTCCCTCAGGAGCTGTGTTCCCCTTTTACTGTGGAGACTAAACTGAGCAGAGCGTGGGATTTTAAGTGAGTTGTGAGGCGTTACATTGGATAGGAAGGCAGAGCTGTCCAGCAGCTTAACACGTGTGATTACTTGGGGACTTATTCCTACAAACTCTGTATTGTCCTCAAAATTAAACCACCCTTTAATTAAATTGATGTGTGTTCATATGATTGAGTTGAGTCATTTGTGCATGACTCTAATGCTAATCTGTTTCAGCGCAATTGCATTTTAATTTAAATTTTATCAAAGCATAAAATAACGCATTTTATTAATCTACATCTGTCAGCTAAGAACAAGATAATGACAATGTAGAAGGACGTTTTTGAATCCATTACAGTAGCTGGTTCCTCTGTGTACTATGTTTTCACTTATAATAAGTTAAAGTCATATTTGATTAAAGCATCCAGTGTGGCTTAGCAATAGCAGAATCGGTCAGTAGGCCAGTCCATCAGTCTGACTCCTCATTCAAAATCTCCTCTGTAAAATTGAGAAAAATATCACCTCTATGAGCATTTTCCAATATTTCAGCCCTGGTTCTGGTATGGTTATGCTTTAGGCAATCAAAACTACTTGGTAAAGTCTGGGGAACGAATGTCGCCATGGTAAACAGAAATCAATATCGACTGTGGAAGAGGGTTGTAAATCTTTGCTGTTTTCTAAGGTTTTCCTCTGACTGATTTATAAATGTAAACATACTTTATTGTCACATACATGTAGCGAAATTCATCCTCTGCATTTAAAGGGAGCAGTGGGCAGCCACTGTACAGCACCCAGGGACCAACTCCAGATTGAAATGCCATCCCAGGTCAAACAGCACTGACTGATCTAACATGTTTCAGATGGTGGGGGAAACCGGAGCAAACCCACGCAGACAACAAGCAAATTTCCCACAGAAATGCCGGGGCAACCTGGGTTTGAACCCACAACCTTCTTGCTGTGAGACAACAGCGCTAACCATTGCACCACTGAGTACAAGGTTTCCTAAACCATAAGGAGGTTAAAATCTTTTGATTTAGGTAACAACAAGACCATTCCTCTGGCCTTACCCTCAAACCAGCCTATAGGTTCTTAGTGCTACGAGTCTAGTAGCATGGATATGTGAAGGCAATGTCCTCTAAATTTTCCATCCTTTGAATAGTTTTGTATTCTGATTTGTAATGAACATTACAACCTGACAGTCAATGTGTGGTTATAACAGTTTTTTATGGTTGGGATAATCACAGCTCTAAATGCCAGGCTACTAACAAAAGTTTTATTGCAATTATATTTACATGAGTACAAGAAACAAAACAGCAGAAATGTGTCTGAATCTAGACTTGAGGTGCTTGTCTAACTGTCCTCACTGATGGGACTTCTTTTACCAGATTGAGCAGAGGCGCCACAACGAGGGCAGCAACTCCACGTCCTGTGTCTTCATGGTCAACAAGCCATACGCCCTCACCTGCTCTGTGGTGGCCTTCTACATCCCTCTGGTCCTCATGGTGCTGGCCTACCAGAGGATTTATGTCACGGCCCGTGCACATGCCCTGCAGATCAGCATGCTGCAGCGAGCAGGAGGAGCTGGTACCAACGCGCCTGGTACTTCAGGGGTCGGTGCTGGCACAGACTCTGCTGACCATCAACGCAACCACCGTATGCGAACAGAAACTAAGGCAGCAAAGACTCTTTGCATCATTATGGGGTGTTTCTGCCTCTGCTGGGCGCCGTTCTTCATCACCAATGTGGTGGATCCCTTTATTGACTACACAGTGCCAGACAAGCTGTGGGCGGCCTGCCTGTGGCTGGGCTACATCAACTCCATGCTGAACCCCATCCTCTACGCCTTCCTCAACAAGTCATTCCGCCGTGCCTTCCTCATCATCCTGTGCTGTGGGAGGAAGAGGTACCGCAGGCCGTCCATCCTGGGATCCGGCACTCCCTGTACAGCCACGCAGATCAATGGCTCCACACACGTACTGAAGTAAGTTCTCTAAATCATTTTTGGGTTTGGTTTCATGCTATCAGGCATGAAACTGTACTCCTTTAAGAATTACAGAAAAACTATAATAAAGAAAGCAAATATACCTTTTATTAAATATAATATACCTGCGTGATAATCTATAGCGACCTGACCAGGGTGTACCCTGCCTTTTACCCGATGTCAGCTGGGATTGGCTCCAGCCACCCCACGACCCTGTACACAGGATAAGTGTTGATGATGGATGGATGGGTGGATGGATGTGCAATATTTATGTAGTGAAATAATAGTGCAATTCTTGTAATTTTAAAAACATTCTGAGAAAACAGTCATAGTAAAAATAAGACTTGTTGTCCACTCAAAAATGTCAATATTTAAATGCAATTTTACATTAATAAGGAGGACAGTGCCAGGTGAATCCGAGCACTGGCCATCACACATCACTGTTTTAACACTTACATACTGTAAATAACCACAGGCAACTGCTCTTTAAAGGTACAGTAGAGTTCATGTATATTTAGCACCGATCAGTAATCAATAACTTCAGCCAATAAACCAGTATTATCTAGTCTAAGCACAATCATAGCATACAACTATCAGCAAGCATGCAACGCAGGTATGTGTGTGTGTGTGGGACAATAAAGGGGGAAAGCGAGGAAGATGGCACATGCGACCACATGGGCAAGTTAAAGAAGATCCTACGTACCACAGCAACATACAATAATTGTCCTTTATTTCCCAGCAAACTTGTATTCAGCAGCCATGTTACTGGATTTATAAGATCTAATCTGATAAGGTCTGATAAGGTACATGAAGATTTATGGGTCATGTTACTGCAGGTTATAGAGTGAAATTCAGTATGTAACTCCCTTCTGCTATGTAACAGACAATATACAGTAATATAAAAAAATATTTTAAATAAACTAATGAAATAAACTATACTTAGTGGAGCAGTGCTGAGTTTGAATTTTAGTTTAAAAGTCTGACTGCTTGGGGGGAAAAGCTGCTCTGCAGTCTGGTGGGGTGGCAGCAGTTCATATATGTCTTCTCAAAGGCAGCAGCGTGAACAGGCTGTGGCTGGGGTGGGCGCTGTCCTTTAGTATCCTTTGGGCTCTCTGTAGGCACCTCACCTCACCGATATCACTGATGCTTGGGAGATGGGTATCAATGATCTTCTGAACAGTTTTAATCACCTGCTGCAGAGCCCTCCTGTCCTGTGTTGTTCACATCCCATGCCAGTTCTTCAGGATGCTTTCTATTGCTCCCCTGTAAAAAGAACTTAGCTTGGGAATGTGGCCTGATAAGGTGCAGATATTGGTTCCACATGCAGTGGCAAGTAGAGGTAGGAAGTAAAAAAAAAGCAGCTTTTATCCTAATCTCAGGCTCAGTACTATCTTACCTCTAGAACATGTTGTCTTTAAGAGGTCCTCTGGAGGACACTCAGTCTAAATCTATTGTAAAGAGAATCATGCCCTAGTACATAAACCAGAGGCCCTCAGTGAGTAACGTTAATTACATGACTGTGTTTGGAGATGGTACTCATGGAATTCCCATTACAATACGAGATCCTAATTGTTGCTGCAAGACAAGAACCTTGCAGCAAACCTGTATTTGGCAGTCGTGTTACAGGACCAGCCCTGACAATAGTTGCGTTTGAGATGACGGGCGGCTGACTTTCGCCGACTTGATAGTCTAACGTGAGCTGCAGGTGACTGCAGAGGTGGTGAATAAAAAAAACGGCGGTGTTTTTTTGCATTATGGGGTAGATGTCTTGAAATGCAAGAGCACTGGTTTAGTTTCAATGGTGGAGGGGACAGAAATAAAGAGGAGGGTCTGGCGGTCCTTCCCCAGAAAATTTTAAGCATTGCAGACTTAATTTCCTGCATTGTGGTGAAAATTTCCGCTCCAATTTCTGCCTCAATTTACAGTGGAAAAATCTTAATATATGTAAAGGGAAACACAAAATTCAGGCAGCAGGTAAAAATTCTAAATATACAAAAAATGAATAGAATATAATGCAGTAAGGTTTTCAGGCATTCTGTGGCTATTGCTTTTAAATAGCCTCCTGTAGATCAACTTTTCTAATTTTATAAAATCTGCAGAGTCAGCACACATGTAGGCATGATTCAGTCTTCCCTCCCCTTTTGTGTCTTTTCCATGGGGATGTGCATGTTACACCTTTCCACCTCACATAAGTTAATTTTAATTTAAGTTATATATTCCTGTACTTTAGTAGCAGCTGTGTTTGAGCAGGTTTTCTGCACACATAATATTTTTCAATTCTACCTGCCCTATACTCTGCTGTGCATTACTTATTGCTCCACTGGAATTATCCGCTTTAGACAGTTTGAAAGTGCATAGACTGCACTGTGACGTAAACACTCACCACAAATCCACACACATGTTAACTTCAGCAGCTCCAGTAAATTGCAGCTCACATTCCCAAACAGAGCAAGGCAGCGCCTCAGGTTTTAGATTTTTATATTGCAAAACTCTACACAACGACATGACTCGTTACAACTGTCTGGACTTAGAGCGTGACGTGCACTTAATTACTATCACGGCATACGCCAGGGTCGCAGCAGCTGGGCAGGGTTGATTTGCGCCGAGTCAAAAACCTTCTCTTGTGGCGCCCCATGACATTTTGCGCCCTATGTCGCCTTTGCCACACGCCGGCCCGGCTGCTTAGACATTTCCTAAATAATTTTCAGCAGGGACAAATAAAGTAGCAACAGTTGTTTTAAGATGTGTTAGAGATGACTTCATCTCTGTGAATACCCTTCCTCACTTTCAAATGCATGGTCTGTACTCTCTTGACGTGTTTCTAAAAATAGAACACATGTTTCGCAGCGATAAGAGAATGATGTTTAACATGTACTGTATAATGGCCTAAATTGCATATTTAATCTTTTTCGCTATCCTCTGTCTCCATGTCTGGATGGGATGATCTTATCGGTATTCAGTAGTGATGAATGTAGCTCAGCAGCTTACTTTTCATAAAATCCTTGTTTATGCTGGGAAGGTTAAACTATATCATAGGGATATTACAGTGCCCTGTGACCCCACTAGGAGTTTCATGTGCCTCCATCTCTCTTTCCTTATCCTCTGTGCACTATGGTGGCCTGTAAATGACACAAACTATTTTGTCACATTCACAAATTAGAGACAAGTAAGCCAGTTAATTAGACTGCAGATTCAACTGAAACACTAGGTGAACAGATGCCATCCTGTATTAAATACTAAATCTGATTTAGCATTTGCCTGTTGCATCAGAGGGCATGAACCAATTTGATAATGGGCAAGCATGTGGTATTTTTGACCCTGAGCAAGAGATGCATGGGAACATTCTTCCCTGACTTTTGTAGAGGTCCCATTTACCCTTTTATTTTCTTCGTTCTCATGCTCAGGTTAGACCCAAGCAGTGCCTCCACCACAGGTCTTTTTATAGAGTAGTTACCATTAAATTAACAAGTTTGTGGTAATCTGGATAAAACGTGCAAAAACATTGGTCAGCAGAGACCAGTTCTGTACAAATACTGTCTTTTGCTGCTGTGTGGTTTCCCTTGAGCAATTCTATAGATATAGACTTTTAAAGTGGCATTAGGATTTCTTAGACTTGCCCCTTAAAGTAGCACCTCATCACCTGTACTGTTAGTATATATCTGTGACAGTTTAATTCAGTTATATCGCACCTAGTCTTAATATTTCCAGCAGTTCTGCTCTTAGTGAGATCTTCTGACTGTGAGTAAGACAAGACAATCTACAATAATTATGTCATACATTGTCCGACTTTCATCTTAATCTTAAGAAAGATCATTTCATCATTGTTCATGAACTTCATTTGAACTTCTTATGTTTAAAACAAATTCTCTACACTATAATTTCTGTGTGTCCTCTATAACATACACATTGATAATGGCTGGCAGCCTTTTCAGTAACCTTATCACACTGCAGTAGCACCTTTTTTGCAAAGGTCCTTTTTCTTACTTTTCATCCAGTGCACTTGATAAAGGTCAATTACTTAATGTCCTTGCTCTAGTTCTTATGAGAAGGAACAGTGCCTTGGAGACTTTAGACAACAAGATATCACTGGAACAGGGTGTGTTGAATAAAGATATCAATTATCTCTTTTATAATGGCTGTTGTAAGCCAGAAATGACAGATGTTGTTGTTGTAAAAGATGCGCTTCTTCCACATGAGATTACTTGGTTCCAACAGGTACTGTATCAATATCTATGTCTGCTTCTGAGCAGAGAAAATAAAATGATCTGGCAGAAATGATAACACAAAATGCTTGAAAGAAGACTACATGGTTTCACTTAGTGTAGTGTGTAGTACATGAAACATCACCCTCTTGCACACTGAGGCAGTGCTGCAGTTAAGCTCCAGAAATAAAAATACATTTCTAAATGGTATTGACATCCTGAGATATTATGGAGCTGGAACTCATTGTAAACAGTCAATGAGTGTGCTTATTCCAAAACAGAAGCCCTGATCAATTCATGTGTAGTCTGCTGAAAGTACGCGCAACATTTTCATTCCCTCTCTGACATTTTTGGACCACCTCTAGAGACTTGTTATTGGGGATTGAAAGCAAGCTATTATGTAATGTGAGCCTGCCCATATGGAAGTCATCTATACACTCATTATTTTACTCAGAAGTGAGTGCTTCTAAAATAAAATTACAATTGTTCACACAGGAATAGTAATACATGGGGACCACCTGTAATTTGTAATATTTTCAGATGTTGTCTGTGTTCTTAATCCTTTCATGGCAAATTACCAACTATATTTAACTAAAAACAGATGTCATCCAATATTATTCCTGTATAAGTGGCATTTCAGAAATTTAGCAGCATTTTTATTCTTTCTTGCAAGGATTCCCCTTTTTTTTCATTCATTTTCCCTGCCTCTTCCAGGTTTTATTTCCTGGTATTCACCTCTAGATGTGTTAAACAGCTCAGGGCATATCACCGTTTGTTTTAAACCACAGCATTCTTAGG